CGCATTTAATTATAATGGAATAGTTATAACTGATCGAGTGATTGATTACATATGTGCTGATGATGTAGGCCTGAAGAGATGTGGAAAGAGTTGCAGGCTGCGTTGGATGAACTATCTGAGACCAGATATAAAACGAGGGAACATTTCAGGCGATGAGGAAGAGCTCATCATCCGGCTGCATAAACTCTTAGGCAACAGGTATGTACGTAATTCATATAGTTATTCTCATTTTGGTGGTTTGTTTGATTCGGTAAATCAATTGATTTCTAGTTCCATGTTTGTTTTTTAGGTGGTCTCTGATCGCAGGCAGACTCCCCGGAAGAACAGACAATGAAATAAAGAATTACTGGAACACCAACTTAGCTAAGAAGTTACCAGAGTCGCCACTCCAGTCTAATAATATTACCAATATCGGAACGAGAGTTAAAGTTGAGCTCCCATCTTCACAAACTACTGGAAAGAGTAGGATCAATTCATTACAATTACCAGAAGCAGCTACAGGAAACGATGTGTTTGTTGCAGCAGGAGATGTTAATGATGAAGAAGGCAATAAAAAACTCATTAATAATGTGGAGCTACCCCCGTACGTGGAAGGCGATTGGCCAAGGATTAATACGACGATTTATGAAAATAAAAACGATCGGTACTACTCAAGTGATGGGTCAGCATTATCAATGTCTAGAGAAGTAGTCAACAATAATTCATCAGAATTTATGATGTTGGATTTTAACGTGGAGGACTTAGGTATAATTCTTGATTCAGACTTCACCAATAAGTTTAATGAAATGGAGAAAACGTGTGATGAAGCATCAATTTTTCCTAAGAAAATTAAGGAGAAAAATGGGAGAGGAGATCAAAGTGGTACAACGACAACTACAACTACTACAGATCAAGATCAATTCTTATCGTTGGCTTTTTCTTTTCTTGAATCAGCTGAAGAATGGCCTGGAGATGATCTAAACAATAATATTACTCATGTTTAGTTTAATCATGTTAATAGAATTTCAATTTGGATCCATTAATTTCATGTTAAATATGAATAATAATTAAGTGGGTGTAGTTCTATTTCTAGCTATAAGCAAGCTTAGTTGGGTTAATTTTCTGAGTTTCTTTTAAATATTGGTTGAGTTTTTGGAATGTGCAGTTCAAAAACATTTGTTTGAAGTTATCTATCGTTCACATATTCATTCTGTCTTTTTGTTTTTTAGTCATTCAGTGTCTGTCTTCACTCTTGTTTTTCTTTTTCTTTTTTATAATTATTATTATCACGTTTGCATGTGACAATGAATATTATTGGCTTTTCAAAACAGCAAATTCCATAAAATTGCGGGCCGCTGTCTGTAGTTCCGAGGATTTTTAAGTTTCATATTTAATTATACGAAATAATATTATTATATACTGCGGGTTGCTATTTGTAATTCCGATTTTAAGTGTCATAAATTGCGAGTAAACGATTTTTTTCCCAACCAAACAATGGTACACTTTTTCACCGAATTTTTTTTTTTAAAATACTACTTTATTATCCAAAATATAATTTTGTTAGTAAATTTCATTGTGAAGAAAGATTGGATGGCCAAAATTTCATTATAAGTAAGGGCAAGGTAGTCAATTAACAGTACACGGGGAAGGGCGGCAAAGGGAGGCAGTGATAGCTGTTGGTGGGCATTTGGGGTCATAGGGGTTAGGGGATTTGGAAGGGGACGTCGACGGTGCGAAAGGTGGTGGGGCTGGGGAAGGATTCGGTGAGGAAGTTGGCGAAATTGTGTTGGAAGAGGCGAAGTTTGCACAAAAACCTAATAGGTAGGCTATGACGTTTGATGGTTAATTGGGTTGGGAGATGTTGGGGGATTTGTTAGGGTGGCGTTGAATGGTATGGTCAGAGAGGGTTGTTGTTGTCGGACCTGGACAGTATAGCTTGAAAACGCACCAGCTAAAGGAAGTGCAATGGTCGGTGATTGGCGGAGTGGTTAGGTGCGGAGTGAAATAGAGTTTAATTGTGTTGGCAAAGGGGAGTGGTATGGTGGCGTTGGGGTCGACGTGCGACGTCAGAATCAGGCCATTTACCGACGCTATTTGGATTAGGGTTTCGTCGCTTCCAACCTAAATCTGGTTGAATCCGGTGTCCAAAATCCAATCCGTCACCACCCCTTGCTTCATTGGCACCCACCATACAAAATGCCCACCATCCCATTGCCCACTTGCTCACCGTTCCTTGTCCGAGCGACAATGCCGTCACCATCGATATTTTTGTCAAATAGTAAAGGATATTTTCGTCTTCATAATGAATATCATTGTAGATAATAGAAGTTATTAATAGAATACAAAGTTTAGGTAGTAAAGTGGTATTTTAAAACTTTTTTGGTGGAAAAGTGTCATTAGACCATCGTTTATTTGCAGGTTGCTGTTTGTAGTTCCGAAGCTATTTTCAAGTGTCATATAAATCATATGAAATAATATTATTATATAATTAAAGATAATATTTGAGAGTTCAAAACCAATGAAAATGACTTAAGGAATTGTTACTCTATTATATTGGTATTTAATTTGAAATAAAAATTTGAGTTTTTGTTCATCTTATAATTCATAAATATTGGTTCAATAACTTAATTAAATAAAAAGATATATTTTTTTGTTAACGATTAATGAGAAATCAAATTAATAAGATATTAATACTAGGGGTGTTTGGTTCCGAGTACCCTACATTTTTTGAAGGAACCAGAACCAGAACCGAGGGTTCCTTGATATTTGGAATCGAAAACAGAACCGACGGTTTTGATTCCTAGGTATCCAGAATTGGAACCTGTAACAAAGGTTTTGGTTCCAGGTACCCTTTAAAATTACAATTACCCCCCAAAAGTTTTTAAATGGAAAAAAAACCATTAAAAACTTACAAATACCCCTCACTTGGCACTTGTTAACAAAAATAAAATTACAAATTACAAACTCCATTACTTTGTAAGGGTAGATTCTCAAAAGTCAAACCAACTTACTTTAAATGTTATGAAATATAAATATAAATGTATTCACGTTACTTTTTCTATAAAAGTTTTTACTAACCCCCCCACTCTTTAATTTTATTTTATATTAGTCTTGGTTTCCGATTCCGGTTTTTGACTATAGGAACCAGAACCAGAACGTATCCGTTGACGGCTGGTTCTAGGTAGGAACTTGAACTAAACCCCGAAAACCGTCGGTTCTGGTTCTAATCGATTATTTTGAACACTTCTAATTAATACAGGTGCATTTAAGCTTAATAGGCCTAAATTATCTGAGCTTGATTTCTTAAAAGCAAGTTGGACTTGAGCCCATCTAAGATTTGCACAGTTCCAAATCAATAAACATGGCCTATAATATAAGAGTAATTCTACACCACCAATCTTTTCTCACAAACTTTTTTTTACAATCCAGATGTAACAGCTCACAAATAATTAGTAGGACCCTTAAGGGACCCATGTGGGACCTGTTGTGAACTGATCAATTGGGAGTTGCCACGTCAGGGTTGTTGATGTAGTATTATTAATTCATAATATAAACCCAAAAATACCACTAATTTGATCAATCCCAACTTCATAATCAAATATGGGTAAAATGGTAATAATAAAATAAATAAAATAAAAATTTATCAAACAATCATGTTCAATAATCAAATTTCTTTTATTTAATATGGCTAAATATTCTTATTTACATATATACCTATCCAAAAATATGATAAAAACATTGAGGGAGTGTAACAAGTAGGTGACTAAAAAATTTTCTGGGGGTCGAAAGTAATAGTCAATGAATAAAGGGGTTAGAGAAATGAATATATGTAGAGAGAGAGAGAGAGAGAGAGAGAGAGAGAGACCTCTCTATAATAATACTATATAATAACTTTTATATAGTTATATAAAATTATGGTTCCAACTTTGACTAATTATAAATAAAAATACTCTTCACATTATAATGAGTTATAATTTCTTTTAGGTCCTATCTTAAGGAATTTGCTTAAGATAGGACCCGAAATAGTTTGGCTCTCCATATATATCGGGATAGAACTGTTTTCTTGACCAAGTACTTATGTGTTTGTAAATTTTTTCTATTAAATATGCTCTTTATTACCTCACATACCTCATCAACTCTTTTGACTAGCTTTGTTACTTTAATTTACATTTGGTATGTTTCCAGTGAAACAAGGAAATTTGGTGATGGATTTTACTGATTACTAACCAGTTTGAAAGTTGTCTTTGTACTGTGTGATTAACAATCTGGTCCTTTTAATTAGTCTGGACATTAGGTTTGGTTCTGATACTGACTAAAGCTAGCATAAGAGGGCAATTTTTATGGATTTCAGGATGTTGTAATTGGATATTTGATTTGGAGAACAAAATGATGACTTGTCTGCCTAGATGAATATTGAGTGACTGTGAAGCAGCTCGGTTGCTATGTTCCCTGTGTTCTACTACCATAGCTTGTAAAATATTTAGAAAGTAAAGCAATGACTTCTCTTGTTTAATTACTTGTTGCACTCCAATAAAGTTGGTTATAGCATTTGCAGGAGCCACGTACCGATGATTGTTTTGGGGAAGTGTTGAATATATCAAACCTAGTAGCTGTATGAGATAGTGTGGTACAGCTTAAGAGAGCTTTTTTATTTTTTATTTTTTTGGTGGCAGTTACTTGAATTTAGGACCACGTGGGTATTGATCTTTTTTTTCTTCCTCAAACCTTGTATCTCTTCTTGTTTATATGAAATGACATTCATGCTCTGAAATCAGGAATCACTTGCATAACAGATGATGCTCTGATGTGGTTATGTTGCAAGAAAAGTATTGATTGGCTTAATTTGCTGACTAATACCTTAACAAATTTATAAAATGTGTAAAAACTGACTGATACTTGATGCTTGGAGGCATCTTCTTCTGGGGAAGTCAGGGCAATATATTTTTTTCGATTTTGGTTGAATTCAAAATTATGGTTTTGCAGGTAATAGATCATTGACAATAGTTTTACTATTAGAAAAAATGAATTCACTTTATTCTAGGATAGAAACAGCTAAAGTTCTTTTAATTTCTGGTGAGCCTATATTTGACATTGTAGCTGCCATACTGCTTTTCTTTTACCTGCTGAATTACTCTTCTCTTATGTGTAAAATGTTGGTTTCTGCAATTTATGGACCAATATGGATAGACAAATTGACATAGTGGTTCTGGAAGTGTTTAATTTTTAAGAAATGTTTGGCTTCCTATGCTACATTCGCTGGACCTGTGTGTGAAAGTTTTGTTTATCAGTAGCAGTTGGTGGTCTTATACACTGTAGATTTTCCTTTTTTTCTTTTCAGGCCTGTTACGAGCTTTGATGAGGTTACTTTTCACTTTATTGATTGCATATATTTCCAGTCGCAGAAGTCCAAATCACAGGTATTCATGAGTAGAACAAATAAACTTTTTGCTCAACGTGATATATGCATGTATCAGTTTGGATGATTATGTATTACACGTGTCTGTGGCATTTTTCTTTTATGGATTGATCGTGTATTTATGCTGATTGTAGCAGCAAGGTTTGTCAATTAATCAGCCTCAGGTGGTGGATTCATCACTGCACACTCCTGTCCGAACCGGGACAAAAGGTTATCAGACAGCCCCTTCAAATAATGTATGTAATCCAACCACAGAAAGTTCACTTTTCATGCGCAGCACTATGTTTTCCGTAATATTCTAATTTCCTTTACCCAGCTCTCTTCGCAATTTGGCATTGATGGACTCAAGGACTGTGATCAAATGATTCTGGACTATCTGCAGCAACCTTCAAGCAGGTTTGTCATACACCAAAATTGTCTTACGATAGAGCTTATTTCCCTTCCCTTCCCTTCCATTGCTTGCTTCAGAAAATTGCCAAGTTATGTATGAAAATCTTTTTTTTTTTCTTTGAGAACTGTTTTTCACTTTGTTCGGTATAATTTCTTCAAGTTAATTTCCACCTCCTATCCAGTTTATTAGTGTTTGATTTTACTGAGCTTTTGTTGTTACTGTTAAAGCTTTGGGGATTTAGAAACAATTGATATATGTAGAAGTTCATCTGATTGTCTTAACTAATACACTTGGTGCATATTTCCCTCCACTTTATTAAAGCTTTAGGGATTGGTTATTGTTTGCAGTGAACGGGAACGGGGAGTGCACATAACTGAACTTTCCCAGCATTTGAAAATACCTGAGAAGAAGATCATGTAATCTTTTTCACTCATGCCTCTCTTTCTCGCTTCCATCTTGAGTGAGTAATTTATTTATTTAATTTATTCTATTGTGCACCAGGGATTCAATTGTATCTCTTGAAAATGAAGGTTTGATCTATTCTACCATTGATGAATTTCACTACAAGTTTGCACGTGGTTAACAGTTTTAATGGTGCAACTTGGCTGGAGTTTGGTGAAGCATGTAAGATCGCCTCATATTTCTTTATTTTTATTTCTTTTTAAGTCTGTTCATATAGGTTTCTGTTTAGATGGTTAAACTTAGAGTCAAAATCCAAGTGTGAGGGATTGAACTTGTTTAACTTGAAATTTTATATGGTAATGTTACTTAGTTGTCATTTAAAAGAACAGTGTTCTGAAACTATGAATATCAGGAGACAGTGCCATGTATTTGGTAGTTTTACACTTTTATGTAAATTTTTGGGGAACAAAACATGATTTTGCATGTGGATTACTGACAATCTTTCAATCAAACTCTGTCTAGTCTTTAATGGGTTCTCTGCATTTCTTTAAATTTTGGATGGATTGGAAATACAAGAGTATTACTCCAATCTCGTACTATCTCATATGATTCCATTATGTTTCTTTGGTTCTTGAACAATAATTTAGAAAAAAAACTTCTTTTTCAAAGTAGTTATTTACTTTAATAATTCGTTCTTGCAAGAATAATACTGCAAAATTTAATCTAGATGATAATGATATAACTTGGCATCTATCTCTAGCCGGCCAATGTGAATGGCTCCGTTTGGTTCAAAATTTGAGGGTTTTGGAAAAAGTTTTTTGAAAAAAGTTAAAAAAAAATTGAATTGGACGGGTATTATCATGTAGGATTTATAAATTAATAAAATACCCTATATATTTATTTTTTTACAAAATACCTTCTATAATAAAACATTAAAAGTTAACAAAATCTGAGTTTTTGGGTATTTTATTGTTTAACTTTTTTGGGAATACTAAAAGTAATATTCCCAAAACTGAAACAAACGCAGCCCAGATTTTTGGAAATACTACTCCCAATATTATTCAACTTTTAGTATTTTTGTTAACTTTTAACATTTTATTATAGGGGGTATTTTGTAAAAAAATAAATATATAGGATATTTTATTAATTTATAAATCCTACATCGTAATACCCGCCCAATTCAACTTTTTTTTTAACTTTTTTCAAAAAACTTTTCCTAAAACCCCCAAATTTTGAACCAAACGGAGCCACTGAGTTTTTGGGTATTTTACTGTTTAACTTTTTTGGGAATACTAAAAGTAGTATTCCCAAAACTGAAACAAACGCAGCCAATACTCTTCAGCTTTAGTATTTGAGTACAATGTTTTATTTTGGCTTCATCACTATCAGTGTAGGCGTTACATAGGAACAGTTGTCAAAGCTGAGTTAACGCCATTGGTTAGAAAACCTCCGATTGGTATCCTACCAGCAAATTCCAGATCTTTTCTCCAAGGTTGATGTCGACTAAGGCAATGCCTTTACCAATCTTAATAGATAGCCAGACATTTTTCTTCTTCCTTAACACCTATGGACCCCAAATATCAAAAAGGCTTGTGTTTGAGACCATTTGTTTGTTTATATCTAACTAATTATTGTACGACGATTGTTTAATGACTGAAATCTCTTGTACGCCCTCAGCCGCAAGAGTTCCCACTAAATAAAATCATGACATAGGCGGTCTCCCAAAATTGAAGCGAAGCTGGATCGTCCATTTGGGAGACTAGTAGTCAGATGCATGTGCTGCTGGCTTCTAATAATATCACTTTGAGTAAACGTCTTTTCCTACCCAACGATTGGCCAATCTACTGGTTCTATCTTGCTTTCATAAATTACAGATTTTCATCATTAAATTAATAGATGATGAATTCACCGCATCGGAAAATTTAAAATAATCCTTGACTTTTCAAATTCATCCTATTGGCGATTTCAAGCAATTCTGTCCTATTCTTGGTGCCGTCGACTTCTCTCGACACCATCATTACAATTCTTTTAACCCCTACATCAAAACCTCTAATCTTCTTGCCTGATTGAACCCCTCAATTATCGACTATCGCTCTTAGTTTTGGTCGGTGTTTTACCCAAATTTCGTTAGGTCCTGACACTGGAAACCATCCCCAATGCCACCAATAGCATCATCAGCTTTCCCCCATCAAAACCCCCAATATCATCAATCGCAATTGCTTGTCGATCGTCGTCGCCCCTCCTTTAGGTTTTTGTGTTTTGTCGCACCTTTTCAACCAAATTCTGGCACATTGCCGAGGTGCAATCGGGTGAAAAAGTTAGGGTTTTGGTGAGGAGGATAAAAAGATACTGATGATGGTATCGAGGAGGTCCAATAAATTAATATTAAGTTATAATTAATTAATGATCAAAATTTTGTTACATCATTCAGTACACAAATTCGATACGCTACTTTCGATGTCCGTTATTTTCCATCACTCAATACTCGAGGACCACCCTCGGGCATCAGCACAATTATTGATTGAAAAGGGGCCCATATGGAATTGCATTGCTGGGCTCTCTCCTCACCCGTAACTCTTTATAAAGAATGTATAAATGCTGATGCATGATTGGATGGTTGTGGTTTGTCCAAGAATGCGTAAAAGTGAATATTCCGATTCCATTTGAACGAGCATAGTAAAAGCTGGAGAACACAGTTTAACCTTTAAGCTCTATCAATTATGTAAACTTCTCTTGAGAACAATTTTGGTTATAGCCTACACATAACCAAAATATAATTACAATATTTATTTTTTTAATAAATATTG